CTGGATTGTAAAATTACTAAGAAAGAAATTAGAAAAATGTATAGCGAATGAATAAACAGCAAATCTCCGGGAATTGATGGAATATGAAATGAATAAGTAAATGAAAGTTTTGTACAAAATAGTGGCTACATTGTAGCAATTTTCAATCTTATATTTAAAGGAGGTCTATTTCCAAAAACGTGCCTTTTTATTATGCTCATTGGCATATGAAGCCAATCTAAAAAAATAATTTGAGAATGATACCAATAGCTATTGTGTAATAACATTATTGTGTTGTCTTGGTAAAATTGCAACTGGTATGGGAAAAATGGATTGCTAAATGAAAATCAAGCAGGATTTAAAAGTGGAAACTCTATTTTTGGCCACATATTTAATCTGAATTTGATTATCAGCACTTTCCTCGCAAGTGACAAAAAACTGTATTGTGCCTTTGTTGACTACAAGAAAGCTTTCGACACTGTATGTAGAAAGGACTATGACTAAAGCTATCCAAACATGGGATAAAAGGTCACTGCCTTAATGTCCTATTCAACATTTAAAGTGGGATTAAATTAATGGTCGAAAAAGATCATAAATTAAGTGAAACAATCCCGTATAACACAGTTGTTAGGCAAGGAGGAAATCTCTCACCTTGATTTTAAACATAATTGAGAAACCTTGGATGTGATAAGTAAACTCGAGTATCTTTTCATTAATTTCAAAAGTAGCAGAAAATTTACAGAGCAAGTGAATTAGGTTTGCCTATAGTTTTACAACTAAAGCATCTTGACTTGCTGGTTATACCGACTCTTACCTATGGTGGCAAAGTGTGGGGTTTTGAAAATACAGCGTTACTTGACCAGCTTGAGTTTCAATTCTACAAATTGATCATGAGTGTTTGAAAATACTTATCAAAATACATGATCAATGACAAACTTTGACGATCACCAGTTTCTATCGCAATTAGGGCTAGTTTGATTTGATATTGGGGACAGATAATTACCGATAAAGGAGTAAAAGTTGTTTTTAAACTCCATAGCTTGATATATGAGAGGAGGAAAAAATTCAGATGGATTGGCCTTGTAATAAGAGTTAATGAAAGTTGAGCTCTCTCCTTTATATGGGATATAAACTCTGTAAATAGCTCGTCCAATTTAGCGAAAACGATATCATTTTTGTGCTTTCGCTGTACTTGCTAATGTTTCGTTTTTAATCTGTAGTTTTAATGTTTTATCAAAAAGTTGTCTTAACCATTGTACTCATTGCTACATTAAAAATTGTCTTTTGTATTTTTGTTGCTGCTGTTGTTGCTTGTAAGCCATTGAATTTCTTTCATAACTTTAAATATTTGTAAAAGCTCTAATTTGTCATAGATAGTCTGGCATAACGAGCTTGATTTAGCTTAATTGTTGCATTTATATCATAATAATAATGAATGATGATTATGTGCTATGGAAATGTTTAGAATTCATCCTTATATTAATTGTGTTGGTATTTTTTGTCCTTTGGAGGGGAATCCAATGACACCAGTAGGAATGTTTACTATATATTTTGCCAGATTTGTTCTTCTTTGGGGACATCTTAACAAATACAAAACATATATGTACCAAAACTAGCAGTAGATGTCTTTTGGGTGGGGAGTGCGATTGGACGAGGAAGAGGAATACCTAGCAATTGTGCTTCTCACCCTTTTATACTTCAAGAACAAATTAAGAACAATCAAGCCCTAGATTTGTGAAAAATCCAAAGCAATATCACTTTCAAAAAGAGGAGAAATAATCGAAAATCTATTTTTGTCTAGAACTTTGTTGATCAAGAACCAGTATTGTTTTATACTTGTAGTAGGGTTGGCAGATTTCCCACCCATTTTCTAGAAATAACAATTTGTTTAAAATAACAGAGCTAAAAATGCTAAAATCAAAGTAACTAAGGCAGGAGTAAATTGATCTAAAAATTCTGTCTCTTGGCCAGGTTATGCTTCTTGTTAAATATAAAAGAAATTGACAAAAGAAGTACAGATTGATGCAAAGGCCAGTATAGGGAAAGCAAGTGCATTGCACCATAGCCTCTGTTGGTCAATATGAACTTTAACAAAGTCATATTTTTCCTGTGACTGTGATGCGATGCGCGTGATGTCCGTGACAATCTGGAATGACTGCACTGGTAAGAAGGTACTAGGCAGCTTCTTTGATTCTTTCTGCGTGTGATTCTTTCTTTGGTTCTTTCTAAACTCTACTGTTATTGCGGAGGAAGACGGAGTGTAGCATGTGCTTCCCGGAACTGATTGTTAATATTGTATGTAATTTAATAATGTCATCGTCTCTATCTGAATCTTTGTACTCTGTCGTTTGTACAGTATGTCTGTTGTTCTGTCTTGATGTGTTGACTAAAAAACTGTGATGATGTAAAGAATATGACATGAACATATGAGCTTGTATTTGTCTTCCTCGCTACAGGAGAGGAGGAGGAAAGAGCGCAAATCTTGAGATTGGTGCTGACGTGATCATGACGCTTTTCACAACTTGGCCTTTCTGTATCGTCACTTTTTTTGGAAATCTCCATTTTTTCTTCTTTTGCTGAAGGAACACCTCAAATACTTGAATGTTATTTTACAATGCATAGATTCGGCTTGCATATACAAATATCAAATCCGCTCTTTCTTGGTACATTGCTACCATATTTGGTTTGGCTTCTAAATCATTTTTATAACTCCTTTACAAGATATAAATCTTTAAGGAAAAAAACCTTTCATTTTATCAACATCTGTGACCTTAAAAAATATCTCCAACTTTTTTGTCCTCCGTGTTATGTTGCTAACCAATCTAGAAGATACATTCTTTTATCTCAAGAGCCCTTAAATCTACCACATATAACATGACAGATTCCGAATCCTCCTTGCAGAGCCCAAGCCAAAAAAAATTTCTGTAGGGGGTACAGAAAAGCTTTTTTCCCACAAAATGAAGGTGTCTCAATCTTTAAGGGTGTGGTCATAAGATAAATAATGCTGCTCTTTGCGTTTCTATTTTTAACTTCATACTTTAGGGCCATACTTTGAAAATTCAAGCGCTACAGAAATATTAATATCTTACAATTATACTGCAGTGTGAGAAAAATTGTATTCTTAGGCCTGACGAAAATCCTTTCCGTGCCGACGGACAAATTTTTGGGGGATACAGAGCCCCCTGTACCCCCTTTGGTGATGCTTATGCCTCTTCGACTTTCCTTCTCAGAGGTTGTAAAGCTTAAAACCCTTTGAAACGGAATTACATTAATCCGAAATATGTGAATCTTTGATCACATCTATGTTATGGAAAAATGAAATAATTTTTATGTCCCATCAAACCTTTTACATTAATCACAAAAGACACCAGTCACATTATTCCCAAATATTTTAATCTTTGACCACTTTTAATCACATGGAAAATTGAAATAATTAGAATGTGCCATCAAAATGTTTTATGAACACGTTCGAGAACTGCAAAACACGCTAAAAATCATGAACAAGAAAAAGCAAACTCTTTTAAGCATTCTGCGATGGAGCAAATATGAAGGTCTCGTTCTCATGTCGGGGTCACTGACAGGAAGCAAAAATAACTTTTACGACGTGTTTAAAGGTTCGGTCAAAAACATTTCGGTTTTTTCAAACTGGTTCTTTCGGTTTTTAAAGTGATAAAGAATGTCTTTAGGGAAAAGATTTTATTTTTTATGAAATTGAAATATTTGGAAAGTGTTCCGGAGGAGGTGTTTTATGCAGTTCCTTTTTTGGTGACGTCACAGTAAACTGAATTAGAATTTACGTGTGATTTCATCGCTGCTGATCGTTACATCAGGGGCTGCACTAAGAAATTTAAAGTTGGGGTATCGAGTTCGTAGCTTTTTTGGACTAAAAAACAACTTTTGAAAAGCGCACTAAAATGCTTCAAGATATTTTATGTCTATGATTAGGGCAATTGTTATGCTAGCAGTACATTGGAAGAGCCGGGCTAGAGGTTGTCGAAGGCCCTAAACATATCTTAGAGAAAAGGCATCTTGCTTTTAGAAGAATATTGGGAGCTGAAGCCACTCAGTCCCCCATCTGGCGCCGCCCATGGCTAAGAATTTGACCAACTTCCATGCAGCATGTCATAAAGTGGTTTATTATTTGATTTATGATTTTAATTTGATTTATTATTTGAACTGTAGTTTAATTTGAATTTTGACTACAGTTTGCTTTAGGGTCATGTATTGTTTTGTTTGTGTATCTCACCTTACTTTGACCTGTTCAAACGTGTTTCATCGGCATAGAAACCTATTTTAGGGTAATTTTGAATCTGCGATTGAATTTATCATAACCACAAAAAATTGAATATCCGTCACAAATTATTGCACACGATTGTGAGAAATGATTTGCCTCTCGGTTGTGGTATTTCTACTGCAGTGTTCATGTGGGTAGCTATTGCTAAAATCCTATCTCCATCTGGCAGAATCTTGGATTTTTTCCTATCATGCTGCAGGAAAATTCAGCCTTTTATTCTTTTGTTGGTAGGATCCCTCGACTTTTTTTAGAATCCTCTTTTTGATATCAGCGATACTGGTTTTATTCAGAAAAAATTGGCGCCAAGGGGCAAATCACTTCATAAAAATCTCGTACACTTTTGGTGGAAATCCTATTGTTTTATGAGAAAATCCCTGGAAATCCTTTTGTTTTTGTGGAAATCTCGTACACTTTTTGCAAGAGTGAACTACCCCTCGATTGGCGCTTCCTGAGAAAGATATATAAGCGACGAAGTTGGTGTCAAATGCAAACAATAGAGGGCTGAACAATAGAGTATTTTTCAAAATCTTTTGTTATGGGTGTTAAATTTTATCTTGGCCCCCCGCTTTTCAACCTTTGTCGGAGCCCATGCTTTTAGCCCTTTAACACAAATGTTTTCTCTTTTGCATTATTTTCTTCCTGTTTAAAACTTCCTTGTTTGCCAATGGAAAAGATTCCTCTCCACCTCAGCCAAACAATAAAGTCTTTTATTGTGGTATTGTGAAACATGTAGCGGAATGACGTCATTTACTTCCGTTTCTGGGACAGAAAGAGGTGGAAGATTTTCGTCAGGCTCATCTGGTCGAGAAACGTTCGTCGTGCTTCACATTGCGACGATAGTACCAGGCAAAATGAAGTTATTTGTTTTCATTTCTTTGGTTCTCTTTCTTTTCTACAATGGAAGAACAGCAGTGAAGGCAAGCCTGAATCCTAGAGGGTGAGTAAATGAATTCAAATATAGGTTGCAAAATTGATTTGTGCTCTACTACTGAGGATTGACATAGAAAGAGCCATTGAGTTAAAATTTTGTTGAAGGAAGTGGGGGTATATTCCAATGTCAAGAATAAAACTTCAAGAAAGCAGGGGCGGGATGAAGCATAAGGATGAAAAAATAAACAGTAGCTTGCAAATTGGCGCAGAGCGTTTGTGAATGTGTTGCTGTGTGGAGTTTTTGTTTCTTTTTGACCACTTTATCTGAAAGGTCGTCAAGAAGAAGATCTGCAAATAAAATTGAATCTTATGTAAATTGACTGAGATAAAGCGCAAAAAAGCTAAGTTTTCATAGTAGATTTCACTTAGTTACTTGAAAGCATTTTAAGAGCAAACTGTGTTGTTTAAACTAAAACCTGTGTGTTAAACGTCACTAAGTTTTGTTAACTTGAACCCAAACAGTTTGAATCAAAAATCTTTGAAATGATTACATGCACGACTTATGAAAACATAGGATATCAAGGTCAGTTTTTGGGTATTACATTTCACAGGATAGTTGTCAACCTAATAAAAAAGTCAGCTGGGTGGAGCCTGCCCCCCCCCCGGCCCCCCTGCCAGGCCGCAGCTATTAGTTGCGTCAGTGGCTAAACACGACCTTGTGGGTTTGAAACGGGGCCACAGTTTCAGTGACGGGGCCGTACTGGGGAATCTGGATAGGATAGTCTGAGTAGCCTCGTGTTATACACAGGACCGCCGAGAGAGATGGGAGGGAAAGAGATCAGGACCACTGAGCTTATTCTACAGAAACAAAGCGCACATTCAAAAAACTGTACAACAAAAAACTGTGCAACAAAGCACTTGCACTTGTAAGAATCTCCACGCATAAAAACTGACATTAGAGGCTTTCTGTACATTGGTCTAATTATTTAGAATTATATCCTACAATCCATTAGAGATATGGATCTTATCATACAACAAAAAAACTAAGATCTCACCTTTTGAGCTACACTCTTCTTTCAAGGACCAGCAAATTTAAGTGCGGGCTGAAAACCTGAGGCTGGATTGTTCTTAATTTGATGATAATTTGTGTAAGCAGTATGATTGCTAGCATTTGCCAACAAAGTGAGTGAGGCAACCTTCATTTGCCGACAGGTTTGTATATTCACAGAAAAAGCACCCACACGTGTGTATAAATAAGATTGGATGAATCAATAAGCATTTGACATAATACAAAAGCAACGGGAGGTCAATAAAAATGAAGGAAACCAAAGAACCTCATCCTAACCCCTTTCTAGGAAAGGTTCCTAGAAAGGTCTTCAAAGCCCAAAGTTATTATCCAGTGGAAAGATGGACACATTTTGCTCTCTCCTTTGAATTTTGTCAATTTTCTTTGTAGGAGGAATGTATGCAGCAGGCAATATACCTACAATACTTATCACCCAGTGCCACGGCAACGAGTTCAGTACCACAATTACCGCACTTGTTGCAAAAGAAAATGGGGAATATGCTTGAGGAGATGTACTAGATACAGGTATGTACTAGATACAGATGATACAGATTTTAATGCCATTGTGTTATATGCTTGTTTTCTTAGCCAATATATTATATTCCTGAGATGAATGTTTGCTCCATGCCTTTTCTCTAAGCATTATAAAAACTTATAATGTATCTGTATTTGCTTTTTTATCTAGAGGTAATTTTAGGGAGACTTCAAGAACGAACTATTTTTATTGAGCCTCCGATTGATCAGCGAGTGCCCTGGGCCTTTCTCTCAACATGACCACACCTCGTGACTGCTGGATTTTGAATTACAGTGATCTGTTGACTCTCCGAAATTTGTTCATGGCTAGGCCTAAAGTTTAACTCAGTGGCGGACACCTTGGGGTCGCCCCCAATGCTTTGGAAGACAACGATTTTTTGTTTTAAAACAATTGGAAAATGTGACCTCCTTTCTTTCATAATAATAACCTTGCCCCCCCCATATTTGACGAAATGTCCGCCCCTAATTTAGCTTGTTGTTGTTTTCCTTTTCTCCCAAATGAAGGAAAGCATATGAAACAGACAAGAAGCGGATCCGAAAAAATTGTTGGTCAAAATTCAAAGCATTGCAGGAGCTGAGATTTCTTGTAATTACTGCAAGGAATGATTACTGACATGAAAGGCCATAGTGTTCTTGACATCATAGAATCAAGAACCATGGTATCAATATTTGACACAAGCAGTGATCTATAAGATTGAACTCTATTGGTTGTTTAACGAGGAAAATAGATAGCAGAAAAATCTTGCAAAGCGAACCCCTCCCCATGAGTAAACATGTCCTTGTCCGCACGGTCATTTTAAGGTTTGCATGTAATCAGATAACACGATTTTGCCTTCACAGTTGTATAGATAGTAATCAAGTATGGGTATGTTATCTCAAAATATTTATAAATTTACCTAGTTTATAGAATTTTTGAAATATTTGTGAAAAAATTACCACCATTGTAGAAAAGTTAAAGTGCTGCCTATGATCATCTTTCTTAGAACTTCAGCTGGTACAAAAGGCATTAAAAAAATAGAAAGTTTTCTGCTGAAAAAGAGCCACAGTCTTCTTTATTAGCAGGCTCATCCGCTTCCAGTTTTTCAAAATTCAGCACCTTTCTACCTTTGAGAATTAAAGGGAAAATCAAGCATCAATGCCTCTCTGTCAGGCATTTTCCAAATGAAGATATTGCTTCATTTTACGGTTTGAGACATAAAAACATGAACGTAGAGGCTTCACCTGTTTCTATTATACATCGACGAGCTCAAAGCTTTTAGCTTATATGAATTATGCAAAGGTCATGTAGTACACGTTAAAGGCTTGAAGGGGTCCAGCACAGGTCCTTGAAAGTGACGAGATCGATCAAGAGCAAGTTGTTGGGTGATAGATTGCGAGAATAAGTTTTCCCATAACTCAAGAACAGAAAAAAATCAAACCGTTTCTTGACCCGCCCTTGCCCTTGAACTGAAGCAAAAAATACAATGTTGTATCTTTGAATTTTAAGAATTCACAAAAATGTCACATAAACTGCCAAAAGAAATGTGTAATAACAGTTCGCCATTGTAACAGTTTAAACGAGCACATGGTCAACTGGAACACTTTGAAAGATTCTCACACAAAAATTTTAACATTTCATCGAAAGTAACAAGGTTTTTAAGTCTCACGACCTTCCACTTCATAACGTACTTATATGATGATTATTATTATTATTACCATTGCTTTAATTACTGTCGTATCAAGTACTTGTCATCGTTTTTTCTAGGACAAGCTATGTGACTTACTACGTCAATCAACTGAAGGTGAACCAAGGCACCTCGTATTTTTGTTGCACAGGCTACGTTAGAAGAGGAGATGCTTGTCCTCAACGTGAGTCTTTTTATGGTTCATATCTGAAAGGGCTGCTTTAGAAAAGGGCTGCATTGGTCTGTTTGCAAGCTATTGAGTGACCAGTTCCAACTACAGTCACGGGGAAAATGGAAAGAAACTGGGGGAGTTCTTTTTTCAGTAAAGAATTGAATTCTGTTTATGGTAAATTAATGATAAGCCCTTGACGTTAAGTTAATGTGACTTGCAAAAACGGGTTTTTTGAAATAAAATTTCATCTATTCCTTGCAGCGGTATGTCGTCCTCCATGCGAAAATGGTCATTGCAGTTCACCAAATAAATGTTTCTGCAGGCCTGGATTTCATGGAAGCTTTTGCCAGCATGGTTTGTATAATATCCTTTTAAATGGTGTGATTATTTTTTTAAGGAAAGTCCACTATCCTGAAATTGGCCTTTCTATTTAATTTACGTTCACATATAAACGTGTTGATGTATTTTATAAATAAACGTGTTGATGTATGTACTTGATGAATAATAAATTAACCCCAGGTTTTTCACATTCAACAATTTCACCCTCTAATTGTGTCACAGTGTCACCGATCTCATTCTGAACGACAGTATTCTCCCATTATCACAAGTGGAAACCAAGCTTTAGAGCTTTTCAAGGACGGATATTTTCCCCAGCTTTAATATCGGTATAAGCCTATAAAATAGACATTTACACAAAAGCAAATCGTTGTGCAAAAGACCGGCAATGAATGGCGTTGCTTTATTTAGACGCATCTAAACTATGTTGCAGAACGTGTTCGTTTACAGTGAAAATATGGACACTGGTCGTCGTAGTCGGCTGTATTAATAACACATGGGCCAGCTTTTATAACTATGACTGTCCTTCTATGTGTCAAATTTTTTGTTAATAGGGAAGTTAAATAATAATTGCTTATTTTATGGTTGTCAAACTTGGGATGAAGTTGATGTTTTAGTGAGTTAATGATGGTTCTTTTTCTTCAGATATAAATGAATGTCAAAAGAATCCATGCCAACAAGTATGCAATAACCTTAGAGGGAGCTATTCGTGTTCTTGCAGACGCGGATATCGAAAAGTTAACAGTAGTCCGCAAGATGGAAAGTGTCAGAGTACGTTAAAGGATTTAAACCAGATTTATTACAAGCAAAAAGAATTTAAAGCAACTGTTTTGAGGTCGTATCATAAAGATTATCTGTCGTGTAAACACCAAGTAATGAATATTAGGCCCACTCTGATGTAAACACACTGTAAAAAGAAATACTTTCTCTATTTTTATAGCTTGTTAACTCAGTTAATCGAATTCAATTCTGCTAAATTTTGTTACATCTACGTCAGAGTTAAATCGGATAAGTTTAGAACTGATGCTTTCGACTGAATTTTCTTTTAGATATAAACGAATGTCTTGCAACGAATCGGTTATGCACATGTGCAGTTGGTAGCACTTGCAAGGCTCAATGTGTGGATACGATAGGCAGCTATCGGTGTCAGTGCAACCAGGGATATCAACTAGTCAATAGTAAAATATGCACAGGTGAGAAACTGACAGATACGTTTAAATCATTGGAACATTTTAACTTGATATACGAAATTTCAGCTAAAATAGCAAGTCAACTCAGATCTGGTAAAGCTATAAATTTCGCTTCTCAAAAGAAAAGCCTATCTGCAAATTTCTGAAATTTTTACGATTTTATTTTTTTGGCTAAAATAGTTTCAAGAATTTGACAATATTTGAATAAAAAATGCCAGAGATCCTCATTTTAATGCATTTATAGTTTACTTCAGCTAATTAAATAAACGCCTCTCTATTTGATGCTCCTGCATTCATAAGAGCTTTGATAAGAGCATATAGAATTAACTACGTAGCAAATTACATAGAGGGTAGATAAAATTTGTTATGTCAAGAAATTTAAATTATATTGAATTATTTCTTTCTATATCGATAATACGAAAGAAAATCTGGATAACACACTTTTATAACAACCAAAGAGAAACATGCGAGAAAGAATAACTCTTTTGTCTAAAAATTCTCGTTAAAACCAGATTGTTGAATGCGAGCAAGCTTTGCCAAGTGGGTCTAAATTGATAACGCTCGCTCTCGACCCTAGATGTGGACGAATGCAAAACTGGTAAGCATCAATGTGAGCAGAAATGTGTGAACAGCCTTGGAAGCTTCAAATGCGCTTGCAATGCTGGATTTTGGTTGCGAGGAGACAAGAAAACATGCCACGGTAAGTAGCAGGATACTATCGGGATATTTTCAGAGATACTTAGATAGGATTTCCGCCAAAAGAATACGCGATTTTAATAGAACGTTCTACCCTTCCATTATGTCTTCTTTTTTATTTTTAAGACCTTTAACATCTTCTTTTTTATTTCTAAGACCTCAACGAGTGCCGCAGAGGAAACGGAGGCTGTGAGCAAATTTGTACAAATATTGTTGGAAGTTACAGATGCAGTTGTCGAAGTGGATACACGCTTGCGTACGACAAAGCGAGCTGCACAGGTATTTGTCGCTTTTATTGTAGATGTTTCTAAATTGATTTATTTCATCACGACCTAGCACCATTCATTATCATATCCCCCGCAATCAGCAACTTTTAATTATTTCTGATTATCAGTCAATCAATGATACATGATCTGAAGTGATCATCCGTCAATAGCAATCATCATCAAGTTATAATATCAATCAGTAGCAATCATTCATCATGCATCATTTAATCAGTCTCTAGTGATCATCAGTCCTTTGCAATCATCCATTTATATTGAACACCAGTTTGTTTATTGTAAAATTCAGTTTGTAAAATTCAGGACTATGCTTTGAAAACTGAAAATGAAAAATTTTTGACAATTACCTTGGATATTTTTTACTAAAACCTTTCAGATCTTTCTAATTCCAAGAAATTGAAAATTTACATTGGTCTCAATTCATAATTTCAACTTCATAAACCCATTAGTGTTGCTTTTTAAGATACCATGCTATTAGTACAGATGAGATTCAAATAAATGTTCTGTCTAGTGCACGAAAATGTACTTATTCCCTTCTAAACAAAGTATTTGTGGCCAGAGCTAATAACAGTATTGGAACTATCATCTGTACAGACACAAAATTCAATTAAATTTTTCTTATTACCATTTATCATTTGATTTTTAGACATCAATGAGTGCTTGAAACTTAAGCCTTGTGATAAAATAAACGGTATTTGCCGAAATACAAGAGGCAGCTATCGATGCACATGCAGAGCTGGGTACGAAATTGCCAACAAAAATCAATGCAAAGGTATTTCCAAAGTAAACTTCATACTCTATATATTTGCACCTACTATTTGCTAGAATTTTGGCAAACTATATTTGACACATTTTCATTTGACACTGTTATTATAAAAAGTTATTTTTTTTATAAATGTGTCATTTGAGAAACCCAATATGACTGTGATTATAAGCTACTTTTAGTCTCCAAGATAATTCTTCTAAGAAAACTTAGACAAGCTTGATAAATTCTATGGGTAAAGGCTCACAATTTCTCTCAATTAGATATTTCTCAATGACAGTGTAGGTTTTCAGCAGGGGTTGGCTGGTAAAGTTTACATTCTGTTTGTAAATTTTTCCTGTTTTTTTTACTGCTTTTGATAGCACATAAATTATATTTAATAGGACTTTGTCTTTCTATGCCGTTGGGCTTCACTTGATTCATTCCGAGATTGTCCTTTAACAATAAACACTAATTTCAATTCGGTATTTAGTCAATCATTTCATTTTTTCCCGGTTTCTAAGATCTAATATCTTAAATTCAAATTTCAGACATTGATGAATGTAAAGGTGCAAATCAGTGCCAGCATTACTGCAAAAATTCAGTTGGTTCTTACTACTGTACTTGCAGAGCAGGCTATGTGCTCTCGTCTGACGGTAGAAACTGCAAAGGTTTGAGCAAGTTTTCGTCTCTAAAAGAATATTCATACCTATTATTCTAGGTCTGTTTTTATTTTAATTCTTCTGTGTCATTGCTTTGAAAATATATAGTTTATATGTTTTTATAGATGTTGATGAGTGTAAAGAAGGACTACATAACTGCGATCATACGTGCATCAACACAATTGGCTCGTACAAATGCAAATGCAAACCTGGATTCGTGCTTTTAGAAGACAAAGTAACTTGTAGAGGTAAAAACGACAAATTATCTAAGCTTTTGCTTCTTAGTTTGTCTCATTTGTCCTTTTTCTTCTCTTTGTTCTTTTGCTTCTTCGTCCCTTTTTCCTTTATTTTTTTATATGTATTCAATTTTTCCTCATTCTTTCACATCTTTCCTAGACATCTATTTATCTTCTATGTTTGCCTTATGTCTTTATCTGACTCTTCCTTTTCGTGTTTCGTATGTTTTTGCCTTTTTTCTTTCAGCCTTGGGTACTCTCTCCGCTCATCTTATGATTTTTCTCTCATTTTTCCTTTTGATTTCTTATTTTATCCTTCTACTCAATTTCTCTACCTTTTTGTCTTCCTTTTCCATCGCTTTCTTTCCTTTTTTTTATTGCTTTTCTTCGCTTTTTTTCTTTTATAATTTTCTGTAACATATTCTATTTCAACCTTTATTGCCTTTTGTTTTCTTGTTCATTGTCTACACTTTCACCGTATTTATTTTAATTTTCACTATATTTTTACTCTTCTTTTTTTAACATATTAACAAAATAATTTTTCAAACTTTCTACGCGATTTCTTCGAAAAGTAGTGCCGCGCTAATCATTCCCTTGGGTTCTCTGGAGACAAGTTTCTATTCTTCCTTGGAATATCCAACATCCTTTTTTAATGATTATTTTCTTTTGTAGCAAGTTAATTTGCTGCTTTAATGAAAATTGTTATTGTTTTTGTTAATACTTCTTACGTAGGTTCTTTTCTTCTTTCTCTTCTTTTTTATCTCTCCTTTTTATACCTTTTCTATATTTTAGCCAACTTCTCTTGCTTTCTACATTATTATCGTTTTTCTTGGGAAATACTGAAAACTAATGCAATTATCTCGTAGCATTACCTTGCAAAAGACTTGCTAGCCCAAGATATGGAAATGTTCGTTGCACTGGCCAAACCGTCGGCAAAAAATGCAGGTATCGTTGCAATGCTGGGTATAAATTAATTGGAAGCAAAACAAGAACATGCCAGCTTTCGTCAAGATGGTCTGGAAATACTGTGAGATGCCAACGTGCGTACAACTAAATTTTCTTTGTCCATTTTTCAGTTTTCATTAAGAAAGCTATCGGAATTTTTGCAAAAGAACATTTTGTTATTGTGCTCAAGCTCAATTTTAGCAATGCTCTCTTTTACCATTTATATCACCAAAGTTTTGAATGAAAATTTTAAAATACGTTTTGATTTTATTCATATCAGTAAATTACTCCAAAGATGTCTTACTGTATGTATTGCCCCATGAGGAATTTGCCATGAAACAAAATTTCTCGCCACAAAATGCTAGAATACGACTTTAGAATTGTTTGGAGAACAGAGCCACCCTTCACTTGTAAAGGAGTAACTTGACCTCTAACTTTTTCTATTTTAGCAACGGCCTGCTCCGTTCTCCGCCCTCCATTACATGGTTATCTCGAATTGCCGTGCATCGAACAATACAATTCATCTTGTAACGTAAAATGCAACAGGGGTTTCACTCTTCAAGGAAATGGCGAAGTTAAATGTGGCATTGTGAATAGCAAAGTGGGATGGATTGATAACAATGCAACATGCAAAGGTAAGAACTACTGAAATTTTGCGTTTAAGAACTTGTTCAAGTCTCTCTAATAGCAGCCTTATTTGCAACAAGAAATACTCCATACGAACCATTAATTTCTCCTTGCCAACAACTGCACAGAGTACAATGTTTTATGATTTTATGATGATTTATTAAAAATTGATTCTCTTACGATTTTGTTTACATTCCTGGTCGATTGTTGCATATTTTCGCGACTTCAACATTTGAAGTCTTTCGTAATTTTTCTATTAAACTACATTTTCTTCAAAAGTCGAGATTGTCTTGAAATGTTTCAAGAACTTAAGTGAATGAACCAACAGCGTATAGTAAAAATTTGCAGCACTTGGGTAGCATGTTAAGATATTTCCTAAATCTTATTTCATTGAGCTTGACATTAAAAGTTCGTCTCACTATTCTGGCATTGACCGTTGAATGTGATGTTAGACCATTGAAAAATTGATATACTTTTGCGCTTTGTTAGGTTTCAAGTGCGATAGAATTCTAAGAAAACAAAGTTAGATATTGGATCAATTTTTTCATAGAAATAAAGCTCTGTGAGCCAAATCCTTGTCAAAATGGTGGAAAATGCCGATTGAAATTGAATTCTGGGTACGAGTGTGACTGCGCTGGTACTGGATTCGAAGGAGAAAACTGTGACGTGGGATCTCTGCGCATGCCCCCTTTTCCCCGGCTTGTTTATGGAAAAACAACAAAGTCGATCAAATTAAATGCCAAACCATCCAGTGATCTAACGATTACGCCGCAGTCAGTGATTGGAAATGTGCAATTCATCCCAAAAAAACTTCAAATAAAGTGAGGGTTTTAAACATATCTTTTTCTACGAATACAGCCGTTCATTTTGTGTCCAAACGAGGTCTAGACTTAACTTATCTTGAGTTGTTCGAAATTTAAAGCTAACTTTAATAAAACTGAGATTTGCTTTTGTTTGTATAGAAACATTTTCTTCCTCTGTTTTCGCCTGAAGAATCTATATGTATAGTAACATAATCCGCTTATAAATAGTTTTCATTTAACTTTATGAAGACATAGAAATAAAATAAGATAAGTGATAAGTTTTTGGAAGATGAATATTAAGCAAATTTCTTTTCCTTTTTGGTCTGAAATTTTTTAAGCTGAACTCTTTGGTTTTTGTTATTAACAGCCCTTTAGTTTATTCAATTTTATAGTTTTTTGATGATAAAATCAAAATCGTTCAAGCATTACAAAAGTCGTGAAAATGATAAATATAAACGCCAAGTTCAAATACAAATACCTTTAAAGCAAGTAACAAAACTATAAGCACTGCTTTGCGGTGCGGTTCTTGGTGATATTGCTTAAAGTGCCTGTGACATGATTTTTTTTATTCCCTTAATTGAAGCGTTGCATTGCTCTTAAAGAAGATCTGAACTTTTTTTTAATAAAAGCGTTTTGATATTGAAACTGAGCAAAATAGTGCGGCCTAGCCAAGTCGCTTTATCATCATTCGCCGTTCTCTTGTGACGTCATGGGAGGAACTCGTTATTGTAACAATGTAAGCTACCTTTAAAAATCTTATCCTCGCTGCCACTACTTTATCTGGAAATATTGCTCATATTGGACCTGTTAGATTTCCCACATTGACTACAATACAAAATCTCGAAGGAGGAGGCGATCGGGTCCCTCCCGTGAAGTCACTGTCTACTCATTCTGAAAACCAAGATGGCGAATTTTGGCGTAGAAGATTGCCAATAACTCCTTCATTTTTCACGAAACGTAAAAACTAGCCTCAGAAATAAAAATAACAGGCCTTTTTACATAAGAATAGATATATAAACCCAAAAGTACGAAAATCATGTCACAGGCACTTTAAAGAGACTGTCGAGTCTCTAAGACTCATGCGTACTTCTTCTCTTTTCTACACTACCTCCCACATGCATTGCCACTGACAGCCTAATTGCTTGCTCAAGGTCAGCATTGAGTCCTCATTCAGTCTAACTGTACTGGTGAGCCCTGATATGGGGCGAAACAGGTCTACAGCGGACTGTTTGAGGTGTCAGTGGCTTTCTTTACTTCACATAATAAAACTATGTCATCGATTTCTTGCTCATGCCGCATTTGTAAACTATTGATATGACAAGTGGGCTATATAAAATGACAGGGAACCTAATGTACATTGATGTATTATATTAGCAAGTCATTTATCATTGTAACTGTTGTTAAATTTGGTTTTTGTTGATATATTTAGTTAGTTTCAATTAGCTTTAATATAGCTAGTAGTGTACGTTTACCAACTTAAAAGAAAGTAAAGAAAAAAACGGTGTAAATTTTGCAAACAAAAATCATGTTTCTATGTATACTTTTTTTCTTGCTTAGCCACCCAATGACATCTGTGAGATTCAGAGTGACACCAAAGAGCTCTGGGCTGATAAAGATATCATATGCTCTTTCCGGAAAAAGCGCCAAACAGTTTTCAGGAATACCAGACACCTTTGTTTACGTTGAACCACTTGATGCCTCTGAAATTGTCACAAAGATTCCATCGAAGACATATACAAAAACACAATGCTACAAATTCAAGCTTGATCGATGCAGCGATTCTAGAGATATAGAACTTCTATCCTCTTGCCCATGGTTGTCAAACGGAACGGAAGGGTACCAGTCAATTGCAATTGGTGACGTCAGAATCCCTTTGTCTTTAGCCGGTGTGACGCTACCAGAACAAGGTTTAAATGCATGGATGTACCGCAAGAAGGGCTATTTATCAGTGAGTCGAGAGTTGGGAAATGTATTAAAGGGAGGAGTGAAATTTTGTTCCAAGGATAAAGCTTGCGAAAAGGATGTCTTCACAAAAGCAGAGCATCGATTCGTTGTTCAACAGAACATTTTTGCGAGGTCTCATTTGCAGGCCCTTTCGCAAATGTTTCCTCAATGGATGAAAGCAAATATTGGATTGGATTATAATGGATTTCATTTAAGTAATATTCAGAGCTTGGTTTTGAAAGGCCATCAAATACCAATGTTGAAGATCTGCGAGCATTTTCCAGCATCGATGACATCTGGTGTTTTTGCAGTACAACTCCTTCACCTGCCGCTGACATTCAGGTCTCTTAGTTTCGAGTCAACTACCAAAAGCTCCTACCCATCATGCATTGCCACTGATTTATGCAACAAGATTGCTTATGTATCCCTTCCCAAGGACAATAGTCTAGATCTTTCATCTGACTTGAAAGCAATGGGCATTGACAACATGCAGCTGAGAATATATGGATTCGGTTTCTCCACCAAAGAGTTCGACTCAGTATGCACAAAAGGCAGCCCTCGTAATTGTCTCTCGGGGAATACATGGCTAAAAATTTCAGGAGGTTTTTCGTTCAAACATATGGATGTGTCATTAATCGGCGAAGCTTCTTTGAGAAATAGTAATTTACAAGAGGTATGTGAATTATGTCGAATGAGTAATAAAAGAAACTTGAAAGCAGTTTTTCTCCTATATGAATTCGCATTCCCCCACCCCCCC